TGAGTCACAGTGTTGGATAAATGTACATAGGCTTGAGAGAGAGAAGAAAATGAGTATAGAGAGTTATAAAAAGAAGTAAATGGTTTACAAAAAAATGAAACAAAGTCTTTAAAGAGACAGAGTATAGACAGTCATAAGTTAAAAGGAGTAAAGAAAAATAAGCCACGTAAAGATGGAAAATTCACAGAGAGACTGGAATATGTATATTATTGTGTTTTCGTTGATTTTTTTGACTGTGAAGGAGCTAAATACAGAGAGACATTTTATTGTATGGGCTGCTAAGCTAAGCCAGCACGTATATTATAAAGTTGTCTTGATGTCAGAATTTAGGTCTAAGGATATGTTGCTTTGAAAAAGAGATTCTTCTTTTCTTTCCACAGAGGATGAGAACCTGTGGATTGCTTCCAGACTAATGTGGTTTAATGGACCAAGACCCCCCTTAAAGGTAGCTTTGAACACCCCTCAAAAATTATTTCACCCAATAAACAGAAGGAAGAAGTTTGGATAGTACTATGCTCATATTCCCAAATATTGTTTATAAGTGTTTTTTTATATTTAAAGGGGGAATATACTATAGAGATTTGCATTGGCATAGATCTTGGTTTATTGATACAAATTTAAGGTCAATATTGTTATATGTATATTTCAGCTCTTGATTAAGGTATTGTGATTATATAGTTCATTTAGAAAATGTAATGTGTAATTAAGAAATACAGGTTAATAGATATTCATTTATAATAGTCAAGCTTGTAGTCATGTCAGTTAAATTTTCTAGATGTACAGAGATGTATTTCAGATAGATAGGTATTCTTCAAACCTTTCAAAGACTACAAAATATGGCCTTTAAAATGTTTTAAGAAGTTAGGACTTTTTATGACAGAGACATGTCTGCTCCTGGCAGCACCAATTACTTCAAAAGGAAGATGGGCATTGAAGAAGCTTTTTATGGAGTTGGTTAGCCATTTGGGCAAGAAATTGCTCTTGCCTGGACTGCTTGATGAACTGGACATGCAGTGCCTGCAGAAAAATGACTGCTGAACTTGCCTAAAGGTGAGACAATTTTTTCTGGGTTCCTGCTTCATGAAAGAGTCTGCCAGAAATTCTACAGGACACAGAAGAAAATTACTGACAATCTGCCAATAGAGGCAAAACAATCTTTCAATTTTCCTGCTTCATGGAAAAGTCTGCCAGATACTATGGGCCTGTAGGCTGAAGATGGATGTCCTAATGGCACAGAAGAATTTTGGGTGACTGTCCAGGCAGCGAGAAGTCTATGTCAATTCTAAAGTTTTTGAAGTTGCTTACAGTGAACTTATTTTTTACTTAGGTAATATTATATTCTTCTGGAGTCTTTAATGGAGTTGAAGAATAGATAGATAGTTATAATTATAGTTTTCCTTAGTTGCAATAAAAAATAAAATAGATATAAATATTGTAACTATAATTCTTGCTTGATATCTGTTTTGTTGTATATAATTTTACTATTTTAAAATTAAAAATTGTTTTTTTATTTAAACAGAAAAGGGGAGGTGATGTGGGATTTCCCTCTGCATGCTGTGATTATCATTAATGAATGAAGAATTGCTTTGATCCTATAACAGAGTAGAGTGGGGCAAAGCAAAGCTAGTCAGGGAGGACTGGACTGAATAATGCTGGGAGAAAGAAGAGCAGAGTCAGAGAGAAGCCATGTAGCCCCATGAAAGCCAGACAGAACTTTACCCAGTAAGCCACAGCCACATGGCAATGCACAGATTAATAGAAACGGGTTAAATTAATATGTAAGAGATAGCCAATAAGAAGCTAGAGCTAATGGGCCAAGCAGTGATTTAATTAATATAGTTTCTGTGCGATTATTTCAGGTCTGAGCTGTTGAGCAGCTAGGAACAAAACAAGCAGGTCCTCCTACTACACGTATGTGTATGTGCCTCTGCATGTTTTAAACTGCTGTGGTGCTGTGTAATGAAATACATGGAGATTTTCTAGATACCTTTATTTTTAATGACTCTCTCCATAAATTTAGGCCATTTGTATTGATTTCTGTCTTAAGAGGCTGTTTTCTTACCAGGGCAATGAAGAACTCCATTTTCATTTCTTTTCTCACTTTACAATTGGGAGACATTGGTCTTTGAGATTTGGGGCAGCTTACATGCAAGGCAAACAGAAAGGATATTGTCTAATGAACTCTAGTAGGTATGGGTGCTAGGAAATCTTTTTGATATTCACAGAGTTTCCTGTAGCCTTGTTAAATCTGTATAATAATTCTGGGAAGCCCATTATAGCCGCTCTCAGTCCAGTCCTTGAGCTGCACTGGACATCTATCAGAGAGGAGAGATTTCCAAACTGTGATGAACATCAACCATCTGTTCCCAAGTGATGAGGGCTCATCCTCCAACCCAGATGACTCTGGCATCTGCCTCCCCACTTTTCCTGTTGTCAGCATCAGTTATTTCTCTATTTATCAGTTTCCTTATCAGACAATATCAAAAGTTCTAATTTAGGACTGTTCAGTGGAGGTGGTGTGTAAAAGCTAATGCCCACAAAACAGTTTGAACTGCATGCAGCTTTGACAATTAACTCACTGTCATTTTGTCTTCCTAAAATAAAGCCAGATGTTTGTAGTTTGCTGCTAAAAAAAAAAAAAAAAAAAAGGTATGCCTTGTGAGAGAAGTAAGAGAAGCAAGCAACTACAATAGACATCAATGGACTAAACTAGACATAAAGAACACGACCTTATTAGCTTGTATCTTGCAGCCCATAAGCTGGACAGAGCCACATTTTCAACCTCACGTGCAATCACCTTTGTTCTGCAAAGTCATTAACACAAGGCAGTTAGAGGAACGCTGAGGGGTGTGTGTGTGTGTGTGTGTTTGTGTGTGTGGGGGGGTGGGTGGGTGCATGTGTGTGCATTTTGCTATGGATCAAACCCAGAGCCTCTTGCATACTAGGTAAGCACTCTATCACCGAACAGCAGCCTATTTCGGTAGTGTTTTCAATATCTGAAACAGTTTTGAAGCACCTGTGAAGGGGAAGCTTACTAGGCTCTCAATGAGAACACAAAACTTGCCTGCAAACAATGCTCAGTGAAAAGCCAGTCGTCCAGCCTCTCAAGAATCTGCAATCAGACACACACACACACCTTGTCTCCCTTTGCATTGTCAGAAACCAGTTAATTTATGCAAATCCTGGTGTATAATAAACACCGATACTGATTTTAATAGTACCACTGAGCTCATTACAAATTCTCCTTGGCTGTTACTTCTCAAAGCCCTTCGTCAGCAACACTTTACTTGCTACACTCTGTCTCTTCACGTGTGTAAAGGTAAGACAACAATTCGGCTATAAATTACACCATTGATGCATTCCAACTAGACTTTCCTCTAATTAATGCTAATTAGTGATGTTCCAATGTGATTTCAATAGGAGATAAAGCGTTATTTACTCTGCAGTTCCACTACAAGGGAACTGTTTTGCCTTTTTTGTTTAATATAAATGGAAGGAAGCAATACAAAATAAAGATCAACCACACTTAATGCATGTATTAAGTCAATTTTGTGTGCTGCTTTTAAACAATGAAAATATCAATTATCCTGTCAGGCAGCTCTCTCTAGCCTTTGTACCAAATAAGTCAGTCTTTGGAGTCTCATGGTCATAAAAAACCAATACATTTTAAAACTTAACCTTGAATCTGTTTCCAAAATGTCAGTCAGTAGCTTGAATTAGCCCTGACAAACAAGCTATAAAAAGTCATCTTCTCCCTTAAGTTTTCAAGCAAGAAAACTCAAAAAAGCAAGGGAAAAGACTTGGCTGCTCTGATGCTGGCAACCCAGACAAATATCTCCCAACGTTCTAGATTTGTGTTTGTGGTGGTTTGAATGAGAATGTCTCTGTAGGCTTAGACATTTGAATGCTTGGTCCTGAATTGGTGGTGCTATTTGGAGAGGCTTGGGCGTTTTGGTCTTGTTGGAGAAACTATGTCACTGGGGGCGGGCTTTGAGGTTTAAAAGCCTCAAGCCATCCCCGGTGTACTCTTTCTCTTCTTACTTGCAGTTTAACATGTGATCCCTCAGCTCACTGCTCCAGCCACTATGCCTGCCAACTACCATCATGATGGTGATGGACACTTTTCCCTCTGGAACTATAAGCCCAAGCGAAGAACGCTTCCTTCTGTAACTTGCCTTGGTCAAGATATTTTAGCCCAGCAATAGAAAAGTAACTAATACAGTGCTGGTGGCAAAACCAATCCAAAATTTCCATCTGTATAGAAATCAGGATTTCCCAAACGTGTTTATCAGAAAAGCCACATAGTAGGCGAAAAAATAAAAAGTAGACATTTCTGGAGCAGCTCAGCACTCCAGGAGGTATTTCTAATAAGCGGTTCTAATGAGCAGACACATTTGGGCAACATGTTCCAGCAGAGGTTCTCACTCTGACCTCTGACCTCTGGCTAGACTCTCCCAGGGAACATTGAAAGCAACAAGTGATGCCCAGGCCCCACCTGAAAACCAGCTGGACCATTGTTCCAGCCAGGGCTACTTTTTGGAATTTGCACAAACAACATGGAGCCAGGGCTGAGAGGTGTCCTTGCCCCACTTCTCAGTTTCATCTGTCCACTGGAACTGGCAACTCAGATCCCAGGACCACGACCTATATTTGGACAGAGGGACCCGAGCATGCGCAGGCTCAGTCTGACAAGTGTTCCAGTGACCAGAAATGAAACACAGTTCTTTCCACCAAGAAAATGCTTTCTTTTCCTCTCCACATGTTTCTCCTTTGGTACCACCGGCCATCACGCAGTTAAAAATCTTTATAGAGCTTTTTTTTCCTTAATACGCTCATCCACTGAATGCAGCCCAAGAAGGGAATAGAAAACTACCCGTCCCAGTGAGCACTTTTAGAAGTATGTTCACAGTGGAAACTGCCTATACCCAACCAATGACCCACACCTGGTCCAGATCCCACATGGAAAGACAACAAGAAAAACCACTAGGCACATCTCTGTGTTCATTTAGACAGTTTTCTTTAATTAACGATGAAGACACTACAATTCTAAGTACCAGACAGAATTGGGGGTAAAAAGAATTGAACACAAGCATAACACTATAAAGAAAGCTTGGAAAAGTGAAACACTGCTAAAGAAAAAAAATATAAACCTGGCCTGGTACCCATTACATATATACATAATACGGTATCCACATATATACAGTCAATGTTTTGGTAGCAACAGAGACCATGTGTCGGTCTTTTGTACACAGAGGAAGTAGCACCATCAGTAGCACCACCATCTTCGGATGATAAACCAAACCACACACAGTAAATGGAAAGCTAGATGGCATTTGTTTGGCCCACCCTGTAGCCAAGAGGTATAAGGAAAGTAACTACACAAGAAAGATTCTTCTGGAAACTCTATTCTTAGGCCAGTGGCAAAGTTCTAAAATGAATTTTAAAAAAAAAAAACGCTAGCACTACAAATGGATATGCAAACAGACACATTTTCCGGGGTAGTGAATTTGTTCTATGATATGGCATAATGGCTAACACTGGAAAGACGGCATGAACAAAGAGAGGTTTAAACAGTGGGTGAATGGCAAAGGGACAGCACACCCATCTCTTGGTGCAGACATCGCAAATGCCAAGTCATTGATAAGCTAGGGAAGGGAGATAACACCTTACCCAAGTCATACATTTAAAAATCATATTTACTACTTATAGGCTCCTAATTAAGAGTAGGGCCAAACACCTCCAGCACCTTTCAGTCTTCTTCCAACATCTATTTGGTGCCCTAATCGTGAGTAGTGAGTGACAGATACCCAGCACGTCATCTGAGCCAAACTTTCTACAGGCGTGTAAGGGGAACTGATGAACAGAGCTCCACTGGGACCTTCTTAGGCTTGGCTCAGGGACGAGCAGGCCCAGTGTTTAACCCTCAGTTCTCCTAACTACAAGGAAGGTTGTCTCTGCTCTCCATAGTTAAGCTCATGGTTTAGCCTGGAAGTCCTTCCGTTAGTACTGCCAACGTTGGGCCTGCTCACAGCCTGCTTCCTACAAGTTTCTCAGAAGCAGCCCGTACACATGAGTGTTGCGTCACCTCCCACTAACATGCACACTGTCTTGGCAGCACTAACCCTCCTGTCTTGTCACTGCAAAGAAACCATTTCTTATTTGCTTTCCCCAATTGTCTTCCACAGACCTTCCCTAAAAGCCCCTTCTCTCCAGAGTGGGTGTGAATGCCTGGCATCTTCCTAGACCTCCTTAAGTACAGATCCCAGCCAAGGCATCATGAGGTAAATTTGGGATCGGTATCACCAACAGCCACAGCACCTCATGGCTGTACTCTCCCTCATGGCCCTTGCTGTCTTCGTGTGGTGGTGAGCAGCCTTTCCCTATCTTTGAGTCGCCTGTTTGAAAGGTGTTCCCAACTACATGGTATATTGCATTCAGGATGTACCATTGAATTAAAAATACTGTTTCCTACAGTACAGCAAAATTGTTTCTTAACACTTTGTCTCACATATAAAAGACAGAAGACAAAAGCCCAGGGAAGACAGGTTAAAATTCTCTACTTCTGGCTAGATGGTTCTTGAGTAGATCCACTTTTGTAGTCGCTAGATTAGTCGAGAGTGGCCCTGACCTTTGAAAGTTAGCAAGAAATAGTCATACACATAGCAGCAGTACTGATTTGTCATTATTGACCCAGGTGGTTGATCATTAATGGAATCCCCTCATTTCCAGCTGGTTCTAGAGCTAAGCTTTTGCCCCAAAACACAGGTAACATCAGAGCCAGGGAATATACTTGTTCTTTTCACAAAGGAGAATTTTAAAACTCTGTCTTAACACGTCTCTAAGAAAGAATGCTGTGAAAGTTTGGTCTCGTAAAGAAAAAGCCACTAACTTCCACATTAGCCAGGGGCCTCTAGAAGCCCCATTAATGTAAGCCCCTGGTTGGCCTGCAAATACTTGGAAAGAGATAAAAGCCAACTCCCTTCAACAGGAATTGAACACAAGAACTTAGCAGCCGATATGTTTTAAAGTAAACCCTTCAAAGAGCCAGAGCATGGGAATTCAGCCTGGGTACCAGCAACTTCCAGTTCCAGGTCAGCTATGTTTGATTGGAAGCTTTCATCCCACCCAGCTCAGGTGACTCTAGAGGAAGCTGAAGGAAGAATGTCCACCTTTGCAATATTGACTCCATAAAAAGCAAGAAACTAGGAGATACCTGTCCAGGCTCTTCTTTTCCACTGTCACCCCAAATGTCAATAACCCCACATACAGAAGCATGATAGTCACAGATATCTGAAGCCTGGGCTCCGTGAGCTATCACAGCCGGCTTTCTAGGCAAACAGTTGGGGCTGACTTTGTTCACTGCTCTCCCTTCCATTACTCAGGTCCTGGGGGGTGGGGTGGGGAGCAAGCAGCTTGCTTTCTTCTTACATTAGCAAGCATTTGAGTCAGAATACTTAAAGAATGAAAAGTTACTTTGACAATGAGAGTCTTTGCTTACACATTTGTAAAAACAAAAAGAAAAAACAAAAAATAAAAAAAAACAACTTTCACATCAGATTTTTCAAAGCCAGTGGAGTTTTCTACTGACAGCAAATGATGTCACTCGGCAGAGTTCCTTGAAAACAATGTATACTTATGACTAGAGACCTATTTACCTTAGAAACTGATGAGCATGCAAATGATTACAATCTGCAACAATGAACATTGTACAACAGTTTGTGAGGTACGTGTCTTCTGGCTGAGTGCTAACACTGGCCTCAGCAGTCGGGGGTCAGTTTATCCCTCTAAATAGAGCAAGGGGTCCCTAATCAGTGCCTTTGCCCTAGCTCTTCCTTGCAGCCCCACCCAGGCAGCTCATTCCTTCCCAGAGGCAGAGAGTTGCTCCTCCTCCGAGCAGGGTTGCCTTCCTAGGGACTCAGAGGGAGCCCGGCACTGCATCAATTCGCTATACTTTTCAGAAGTTTTATGGCAATAATTTACAATTCTGGAGGAAACATCTTCAGGTATATTCATTGCCATTGCTACTTAATACATGAAAAATTCCAAGACACGTGGACTTTCCAAACAAGGAAAGGATTAACATGTTCACTGCTGGCTAGATGCCTCAGTGGCAGGTCACTATGTTTTTCTGTGCTCTCTGTAAACCACGTTTATTAGATAACCGCTAAAAGGCCAGCAAACACCAGGGCAAATGGGCCAACTGCATTCATCTAAAACACACACAACACTGGAAGCTCTCAGAACACAAGAGATAGGTGTCTTAGGGAACATGACATGGAGCCCTGGAAGGAAGGAAGGAAGGAAGGAAGGAAGGAAGGAAGGAAGGAAGGAAGGAAGGAAGGAAGGAAGGAAGGGGAGGGGGGAGGGAGGGCAGAAGGAAGGAAGAATCTGGAATTTTAATTTCCAGTTAGCAAGAACACACTTCTCCTAACAGCCTTTTCAAGACAATGTATGAAATGAAACATGATGTGTACACAGAAAGAGGGGGGTGGGAGCGAGAAGCTTATAGAGGTGGGGAAGGGGAGATCAACAGTGTCTAGTTTATTATGAACAGAAAGACATTTCCAGAATTTATAAACACCCACATTCTTCATTCCAAAGAGAGCTTTTGACTTGAAGGGATCGCTCATGCCTCCTCTCTACAGTATATACAATGAAAGTCTGTGGTTTTCTTTTCTTGCAAATTTGCTTCCATTCAGTTACCAACTCTAAGCTGACAACTGAAAGCACCCCAGTAGAATACATCCTCCTTCTGTTTGGAAAAAAAGCCAAAAAAAACCCAAAAACCAAAAACCAAAACTAGAATGAATTTTTAAAAGGAACTCAGCTCAACATCAAGTTTATATTACAGGAGACAGTATCAGCGAGTATAACTATATAGTACAGAACTTTCTATGGCACTATGATTCTTATTATATTATTCTTCTGAATTAGAATCTCAAAACAAGGATCATACCCTAGACTACTCTTCTTCGCCTCGTTTTAAGCATTTGCTCCACTCTTTACAACAGAACATCAAATACCTCAGTTCCACATCCAAAAAAAGATGTGCGGTAAGGAAAGTTACATTTTCATTAAAAAATGACACATATAAATCAAAACCTATGTTAAATATTTAATACTCTCTCCACCCAACGTGAACAGTTCCGTATGAAATAATTTACAGTGGCGCTTCATGGCACACGGTTTCAGAGTAGATGGATGAAACAGACGCTTGTAGACGCGACGAGAATAAACCCATTCATTCTCTTACGGCATGGTGATAGGCTCACCAGCTCACTGTGGCCAGCGAAGTCCTTAAGGTTCAAGATGAAGTTTACGCAGACTCATTGTCCCGGGGTCACAGTGCTTGCTTTTTGCTTGGCACAATATTGAACGTGCAGTTCAGTCAATGAACTCCTGAGGATTGTACAGAGTAAACAAACTGTAATGGATGCATCGTACCATCTACGGCAGAGGAAGACGTGAGGTCCTGTTTGTGAGTTGTGAAATAGTTTGAGTCTGGGTACCCATGAGTTAAAGGAGGATTTTCTGAGGTCATTTAGGTCTTCGTTCTGGAAAGAAAATGGAAAAAAAATGTTACCATAGGCATCTGGAAATGTGTACTCAAGCAAACTATGAGAAGCTCCCTCCTTACAGAAGGATCTGTCTGAGATCAACTGAAGTTATAGGCATAAGTAGTAGTATTAGTAGTACCTACTATATACCTACATAACACCAACACACTATATTTAAGTTTTCTTTCAAATACAAGTGTTTATAGCAGGCCCAAGCTAAAGTAGTGAATACTACAGTAAACAGATCAATGTGATCCATACATTTCAGAGTTTTGGCAACAAATAAACACAAAATTGTTTGGGGTTATGTTTGCAGCAAAAATGTTCATTCTAGCTCTCATTTAAAATATTGTAAAACACAACGCACAGTTATAGCCTACACTCAAACTTCCAATTTAGGTGTAATAGAAATGTATTTAGGAAAAATTTCTTTCCTCCAATTCAAAAAAGCTCACTGCAGTGGGAAATTATCTGTAACTCCCCTTCAGAAAGGAGATCCTTTATGAACCCCAGAAAACATCACTTGCTCTCCAGTTTTACATAGACAGTACTTCAGAGGTACCTATTTTTCATGTACTCAGAATTGAGTCTCTCTATATGAATATGTATAGAGTGCCCAGAACAGTCTGCGTCAAGGTGGATTGTCATAAATAACTCGGTGAATGAGAAAATGGCTACGTTAAGTGTCATGGAGTCGCCGAAGTTCAATTCTGCTGAAGTTGGCCTCCTAGCAGTTTCCAAAAGAAAGGCAAGTTTCATTATTAATAGAACGTGAAGCCAACAGGTGAATTTCACAACAGGTGCACCCAGGGAAAATTCTAGATTCACAAAGGTGGGGAAGAGGGCTTCTAGCTAAGAACATTAGTTGAATGCCTCACTGACACATTTGGCTGCCTTTTGAAGAAAAGGGATAATCCGGGGATGTGGAAACTAGGATTGTCACCCCAGTGTTTGTACAAGGCTTGCCACATCGCAGGCATTTGATAAATACGAGCTGAACAAAGGGCAGGCATGCCACAGACTTGCCATTGAAGACATGATAGAACAAGGCTCGGGACAGGAAGGGACCAGCAGTGGGTAGGCCATAAGAAGGATGCCGCTTCAGAGGACTGCCAAAGGTCACAAGGGACACGTGGAGTTAAATATAGAGATCCAGGGCAGGTACGTGGTGAAACCCCTGTGTACAGTCCAGGAGGCCTTTATCTAACTACAGGGATAACAGATAAGGACAAGGACCACAGGAGACACAAGGAGGACAAGCATAAATGCTGACCGACACAACTTGTTTGTCCTCTTTCTTGCTGCTCTTTCTAGTGTTGTTTTTGAGACTGGGTCTTGCTGTGTGGCCCAGGATGTCCTTGAACTCCTGATCCTCCCACCTCAGCCTTTCCAGTACTGGGATTATAGGTGCATACTCCCAAACCTAGCCTCTGTCTCCCTTTGAAGGGCATGATTGTGACACTGAGCCACCAGCATTTCCTGTTTACACACTGGCTTTCAGATAAGTCAAAGTTTACCCAAGAAGACTCATTTTATGAGATTTTTATTTATTGTAAAATATTAACTCTGCCTCTAAAAGACAGGCTACCTTTTACTTACTAATAAAGACTCAGTATAGAGATGCCAAAGCAAAAACAAACAAATAAAAGTGTCCTGGGTTTCTCCCTTTAACTGCAGTGAGACAGAGTTTACTCCACATGGAGAAAGGGCTAGGCCATTCTTCCAATAGCCTCAGCTCAGCTATGATACTCACAGCCAAGTTTTGGGGTTGTCATTTACTTTTAAGGTTCTCCTGAATTCCTATCAGAATATCAGGAGATAGCTAGATAGAGATTCACAGCTCTGGGCCTAAAATTAGGTGGGCCACACTCTATTCAACGACCTGTGACAAGAAGCTGCCACCTATACAGTGCAAACGGAGTGGGGAATGAAGGGCACACAGCATGTTTTTCATTTCATATCTGGCTCTCCTCCAGGAGGGCTGGACGAACAGCTTAGGTTGGGAACAAACTGTACCCAGGTTTATCATCACATGTGCCAAGCTGCACGGGTGTACAGGGCAGGGACTAGGAGACCCTGGAAGGGGAGACAGAAAGACAGCCTCGCTGTCTGCTTCAATACATGGCTTTGCACTACCAGGTACCACTTTCGTAATTTTACATAAGCATGTTCGAAAGTAGAAAAAAATAAAAAACATATCCCTTTATCAAATAGCCCCCTCCCAAAATCATAGCCCTCTGCTTTAAAAAAGGCTTTCACGTAAAATCTACCAAGACACAATTCAGGCACAAATATCACCCACTGGTGTCAATAATTTAGGAACTTAAGAAAAAACAAAAACTGGAGTTGATGTGGGGAGGGTGGAACACAAGGCCACAGAGGAAGTCTGAAAAGCACACCTGCCTGGTTTTGTACAATGGTGTGAACCTGGGACTGCACATGAAGGCAAGAAGCTGTCAGGTAGTGACGCAGACCACCCCGGTGAGAACTGTCCTTCAGCGGAGCCCTGCTTGTGGAATGCCTTCTCAAGTTCCCACTTCTTTTGGCAACTGCCTTCTCGATCTCAGGCAGTCTTCCCTGTGGTCTCTAGAGCAGCCAGTCTTAGCTCTTGGAAGGCACATTTGATCTTTGGAGACCGCCAAAAAGCTTTTCTAGCCAAATACGGTGAATAAAGGGGTTGATAGTTCCCAGGGACTTATTACCTAAAGCCAGAGAGTTTCAGGACTGAAGCTGCAAAGGCTTTAGTCTTCCTGTACACCAGGGAGAGACCATAGACTTCACAGACAGACCTCTCTGAGGCTTTATTGGACTTACGCTCATCTTCCTATATCCTTAGCACTACACTCTTGCACCCTAGACAAGCTGAGCCTGGAACACCCAATGTGGTGGAAGAAAAGGCTATGCTCTAGGTGCACAGGTTTTTGCAATTTAGGAATATGTTTCCAAAAAGAATAACCACACTGCGTTCTCACAGTCGTGAAATTCAATACATGTCTTTTACAAACACAAATGCAATGGCATATACCGTAATCAGCAACAGAGATGACACGGCCATATGTACATGCAATGTCCTTAGCTTCTACAGCCTCCATCAGCAGACCCCAGGTGCCCATACCAAACGTGGCCATGCTACTTCCCAAATTTAAGAGTTCACTGGTCCTGTGCATAAAATGGAAGCCAAATGCAGCCCATTTCCTCAGCAGAAGGCTCAGCGCAAACATCAAGCTGGGATGTTCTGTCGTGCGTTCTCTCTAGTTACATCCCTGGGGAATTACTTCTGAACCCAGAAACGTGATGCGCCTGTCATGAGAGTTAGCAGCAGGAAGTTACACTTGGACAAAATTTCATCACACCAGTATCTACTGTACCCCTCTTTGTGTTTCTTCTTGTCCGATAAAACCCACCTAATCCTGCTGCCAGAAAGTGAAAAATGTCCTTTTTAAAGCATTATCAGATAAGTCAACACTTGAGCGATGCCACTTGAGTCCGACAGATTATTGCATTATGGCATCCAGAAAGAATTTACGTCTTCCGGAACTGTACCCACTTAAACTATGCCTACTTGAGCTGAAAAACAAACACAGCTTTTGCCTCCTCTCACATTGTTTTGGCGGAAGGATCAGTTTTGCCTGTGAAAGTTGAAAAACAGCAGGCAGCTGAAACAGAGGTTCAGGGAAGGGTCTGTACCCTTCCAAGAAGCCACTTTTAGTCAGAGCCATTGGTCAGGGACCATCTTGAGCATCTTGGTTTTGAAACCTGTTGCCATTCTGTGGAGTCAAGTGCAACATAGTAATAAGTGTTTGACCAGGGTTACTATTCTTGATTCTTGGAAAAGAGGAGTAAAAAATAGTTCTAAAATATGGCCACCAAGTAGCCCTCCCTCATCTAATGGCATTTTTAAAAGGTCTGCAAGGCTCAGTTTCCTTCCGTGGAGATTACTGTTTGAAATCTCACTGTGGATTTAGCAAGACAATTTCCTATTAATTAAATCCTATACTTAAAGAAGTGTGTCAAGGTCTGGGAAGGTTGCTTAGAATGATACTTGGTTCTTCTGACTTGTACAAGGCCCTGGGTTCAATCCACTGCAGAATGAAAATAGTGTCAAAACAGCCACATCGCATTTTCACTTAACATAAATGTGTATGCGGGAAAGTTATAACACGGAACACTTATAAAATACAAGAAGATCTAAATTTCCATAATATGTTTATAATGCCCATGGGTAACTGTTTATTCAGTTATTCCAATTTCACAATTTATATGCAAAGTTTTGAGGTCTTGTAATCCTGCATTCATTCTTAAATGTGTTTTTTAAAAAGGGGAAACTAACATTCAAATCATCCTTCCATACTTTCTCATTCTTACAAACATGTGAAGCGAGTCATGTGAAATTGTTGGCTCGATTTTGATGTTACTGTAGTATCCTATCCTTTGTCTCATCTTCCTAGTTCACTGTCTGGAATTGGAAGTGGGGTGAGCTGCCGCGTTCCCGGCTTTGCTCTCCCACCTGGGAAATGGAAAGGGGAGAAGTGGAAGTTTGGGAGCTCAAACATTCCTGTTGGGCTCTGGTCTGTCCTCCAAGATGGCAGCTGTGATGCTAGCGCTAGCCTCTGGAATCCCCTTCCATGACTTCTCTACTTAATATTTTTAAGGCTGGGTCTTTCCCTAAATATGAAGCTCACAAATTCAGTCAGACTCGTTGCCCAGCAAACTTGAGGGATCCTCTTGTCTATGCCTCTCAGGAGTAGATTTATTTGTACAAACCACCATGCCCAGCTTTTTAAAGGTGGAGTTCGGATTGAACTCAGATCCTCAGGACTGCACAGCAAGCCCTTTATCAGTGGAGACATCTCCAGGGGTTGGCAAGTCTATGTTTTCCTCCTCCTCCTCCTCCTCCTCCTCCTCTTCTTCTTCCCCTTCCTCCTCTTTTTTTTATTTTTTGTTTTTACAAGACAGGGTTTCTCTGAGTAGCCCTAGCACTTCTGAACTCACTCTGC